GCTTTTTTGTTTTGGAATCCTTCTCAGTGGTGAAGCCAGATGCAAAGTTTACATCGCTTTGTATAATGTTTCTGGTTCTCAGTCTAATGATGTTGGTTGCGGGGTAAGGCTGTTTGTTAAGCGCGGATTGCTGGGATTTTGGTGTCCGTGAAAGCGGCTGCTGCTGCTGTGGTGATGACGGTGCTGGCACATGCTTCTCTAGTGGTTGCGCGAATAGATTATCTGCTTCTGAAGCTTGTCCCTTGGCCTTGATAGGTGTTCCTACTGGTGAGGTCTCTGCTGTAACGGCTGTTGAAAGTGCCAGAGACTCGTTCTCAGTCTTCGATGTACTCTCACTACCTGGTGATGGAGAGTTAGAACACACCTCAGGCTCTCACTGATCAGATATGGGGAATGGTGAACCCTAACTTTCGCCCGTTGGGGATCCGGGATTCACTTCGAGAGAACTGGTTGGAGAAGGTATATTATCCATATCCTCGTCACTTCCTTCAGGTTCATCGACATTGGACACTGCAGCATTGCTTTGGCTAGCATGAAAACGTTGTAGATGTCTCCTAACTAAGCTCGAGCGCATATATTGTTTGGAACATCCAGGCTCAGGACATTTGTGATATGTTTCTGTGTGCGTTAATTTGTGGTCTTTGAGAGACCTGGGATGAGCAAATGCCATTTCGCAGCCTGGATAATCGCATTTCAAAGGGCGCTCACCTGTGTGCTGTCGAATGTGTATAACAAGTGACTCTTTTCTCTTGTATGCCTTGCGATCACACCACTGCCATTGGCATTTATAGCTAGATTCCTGCTGCACGCTGTGACGTTTTCTCGCTCTCAGGTGTTCTTTCTTGATGTGAACGGCAAGGTCTTCAACAGTAGTGCAGCGCTCATCGCAAACACTACCATCATCGTTGTCCACACGCCACTTACACACGTGATATCCGTGCATCGCGGCAGAAGCAGTAGCTTTGGACGGTACAGAGCCGGTAGATTCCGCCATTAATCCGTCTACGGATTCACCGATAGCAATACTGCTTGCAACACACGATGTACCACGGCGATGTTCGTGCTGAATACCGATTATGGTTTGGTTAGATTGTGGACGAAAACAATCAGCACCAATAGGCTGGCTGGCAGGGATTGTTGTGCTTAAGTCGAAAAATAACATAGAAGTCAGGGTAACTGAACAACTAAATCTCCACACGGATATTTACAACGCTGAAAGCTGATGTTAAAGTATTCTTATACTATTGGAATAAATGTAGATGAGTGGTAAGAGTAAAACTGGGTGACTGTTCTGGTGATGAATGTAATGCTCCACCAGGGCAGACACAACGTGGCGAGACATTTCCACCAGGCTGAAAAGTTCGCTAGAGTTTTGGGTAGTGGCGTAGAAATTTTGGGGAGATTAAGGGTCTAAAGAATAGAAAATAGTTGTCCTCGTACCATGTGTTCGTTCGATCCTGACAATTTAGAGAACCACAAGGGTTCACGCCAATCCGTGCTAGTATAGCACAAGAATCTAAACACGTCAGGCGTTGGTGCGAAAACCAACATAGATATTAAAACAAATGTCCAAAAAAGCGAAACATGTAAGTTCCATATTGCTAGATCGCAATGCTAAATTTACTCCGCAAACCGAAAACAGTTCCCATATCCCACAATCATGCGTGTGCTAATGCTGAGCTGAAGGCACATTCGACCAATGTCATTTCAGCTCATCCTTCTTTTTGCGCTAACAATTTTCCTGCCTTTGTAACTTATCACCCACAACCCCCCCCCCCCATACACACACACATCCTTGTCTTTCGCATTTCACAAGCAATCGTTGAGGACATGCAAGTTATTCCGAGTGAAGTTTGAAGTGATAGTTAGAGTGATACCAAGACAAAAATCAATAATCACATAACCGAAGTAGCTAGGCCCACTTCTTCGGACTGTTGTCCACGGCGCAGGCTTATCCCCTAACCTTTTGGGAGGCTACAAAGCAGGGAATTGCCAACAGTCAACTGTAATTGTTCTGTGCTTCCATGAACCACCCAGTCTTACTGAGCTTTTCAGAGTTCGCCAGGTGTTTACTACGCTTGAAACTAGTGCTATATTAAGTTTGTATAACTAGTGGTGGTTCTTGAATAGTATCTCATTAGTATATCATTACTCCATCCAACTCAATTATTGAGATGTGAATGACCCACAAAAACAGTAAATTCATCAAGCAGAGATTGTGTACAAGGCTCTGCCCTACATGGGCATTGAGCACTCTTCGGACAGTGAAGCACACCACTTGACTACGTCAAGCAGAGATTGATTCATTTTGCAGTGGAATGGTGCGGCTGAGGCGGCGGTCAAGGCCATGAAGCAATTGCTTATGAAAATCGGCAAAAGAGACACCTATAACATTTGTGCCTTCAGGGAAGGATTCCTGGAATTTCGTTGCACGCCGAGTGCAGTAGGACAAGCCTGGCCCAGCTGCTATTTGGAAGGCAAACGAGGACGGAAGTTCCCACACTCCCTGCAAATCTGCAGCAGTACGCTGCCCACAGCCGCAGCGCTCCCCAACAGGTCTCATCCCGGCTAGGCAAACCTCTGCCCCCTCTGCACGTAGGCGATAAGGTATTGATCCAAAGCCAGTCTTCAAAACGCTTGAATAATGGAAGGAACGGTCACAAGATGCACTTGAAGAGGACGGAGCTACACGATGCAGACGGTAACGGGGTCCAGCTTCTAGCGGGGCAAATGGTTCCTCCGGCCGCGTGCATAGATTCACTGGGCATGCTTTTCTGCTTTTTCCTTGTTGATTGTGCTCTACGCAGCTATTTCGAATATCAATTTCAGGATTTTTGTGTTAGTGTTCCAAAGTCGCGCACAAGCCGAGGGGGAATGTGGTGATATTATAGCACCTTTCTCTGCATGCGACTTGGCAATTTGGCTCCTACTGTTTCCACCTGCTTCCATGCACTGTTGCACGCTGCACTGCTGGACCTCACGCGCCTTGCGCAAAACGTTAGCACATTCACATGTCACCTTTCACGCCGCCTTTGCAGCCATTGCGTTTCACTGATCTTTTCATTCTCATCCTTCGTAGAGTTGATCTTCGGCTTAAAGCTATATAAATCGGAGGTAATATAGCTCAAGACGTTCAGGCTCGAAGGCTGCCGTGCGAAAACACGGACTGGTAAACAAAAAATATCAAACAAACAAGAGATATAGAAAAGAAAATGGACATATGGAAACGAGTTGAGATTAACTCTCCATCACTGTAACTATATACTATATACAAGAGATCGGTGGCCTTACCTCAAGACTAGATTTACTCGACCAACCAAGAACGTATGCCCTTTCAAACAATCATGCTTATGTTAATGCCCATGCTTGCTACTTCATACTAAAAAACTTCACAGTCATACAAACAACAATGTTAAAATCGGGACTAGGTGGGCGAACTGAAGTCACTTTGGACCAAACTAACTTTAGCTCATCCTCCTTGTCGCGATATAAATATTTTGCCTAGTAATAATAATAATAATAATACCACAGCACGCGTAATAATATAATTATGTGGGTATAATTACACGTTCCGCTTCTGTCCTATCTCCTATGATCAAATTACATTATCAAGATAATTATTAATACGGTGCACTGATGACCTGTGACGCCAGATCATGGATTGTCGGCGAGATTTCTCCATGTAGGCTTGTCCAGAGCGATGGCCCTCACATTCTCCAGCTGATTGCTGCGCTTCAGGTCGATGTTCCTTCTCTGTAAGTCACTTGTGATGCCGGTCGCTTTGGATGTCCGCTGTGAGCCCCCATGCGCCGCAGTTATACAAAATGTTGAGTTCGAAACAAGACGACTGACGAAACACTCTTAATCTCAGGGTCGTGGGTTCGAGCCCCACGTTGGGCGCCAATGTTGAGTTCAAAACAAGACAACTGACGACACATTATCCAGACATTACAACGGGAACAGGTAGGTTGGGGGAACGACATTTATTATAGACGACGAGACAAGAGACCAAGACGAACGAAACAACTACATTGAAGAGTGAGAAAGAGATCAAGTCTGAACGGCAAGATAAAGGGCCTGGGTAGCTATGGCAAATATGGGCGCGCAAGTAGCTACCCAGGCCAACGGAACAAAAGGAGACAAAAGGTGAGTACGCAAGTGCATGCAGGCCAGCTAGAAAACGTAGGGGAGGAGGTACCTAACAAAAAGAACGGGCAAAACCAGGGCATTACACAGTCGGATGCGCCTCTGCTCACTGACCTTCCCACGCCTCAGCCAGAGGCTATACATCCTGCCGTATGCACTCGAAGTCAGGTCTTTCCTCCGCTCCAAGTCCTCACTGTCGCCGATGAGGGACCCTAGCTGCCTGCTGGACCGCCAGGATTCTGAAGTTGATGTCAGATGCAAGAATTCGGTCTTGGTCTCGTTTACTGCAAGGGACCAATCCCCGAGTTCTGCGCTCATGATGGGGAGGCTTCGCTTCAGCCACTTCTCACTGGTTGAGTACAACGTCACATCATCGGCGTAACCTGTTTCTCCGGGTATGTGACGGTCGGCAAAAGGGCGTTCGGGAAGGTTTGCTCTCACTTGGCGCAGTGCTGCCTCCAGGTAACAAATAAAAAGAACAGGGCTTAGGCCATCTCCCTGGGGGGGGGGGGGGGGGTGCCGATGGTGCTGAGAAACAGATTGGCAAATGCCTTTCCTACTTTCACTGATATTTGTGTGTGCAACAGTAGGTGCTGGATCATGCACACTTCATCGGGGCCAGTCACTTATGCCATGACGTCTAACAGTTTGGTGCGATTGATCGTGTCGAACGCACGGGACATGTCAATTCCCAGCATGTGGCATTCCCAGTTGCATCGAGTCGCCTTCGCCGCAATTGAGTTGGACCGACATAACGAGCAACGTCCTTTGCGATTTGGCAGAGCACTACAAGGGAGAAAACATTTCGGATGGTGTTCAGGAGGACAATGGGACGCAGGCTAGTCACGGGTCCTCTAGGTTTTTTTTGGTTTTTGTAAAGGAATCAGTGTGCCAAGTCCGATGAACGATGACATGTCGGCACCCTCTGCTACGCTTTGGTTGATGATGTCTGCCGCGACGATGGATAGCTGTGATGTTCCATACTTCAGTAATTCTCCAGGAACTTTGTCCGGCCCACAAGCCTTTCCGTTTTTGATTCGTTTCATCGCTGTTTCCACCTCCGCTGGAGACGCTGCTACACTTAGCCAGTGAGGGACTAGCTTCTGAATAACAGCTGATTGATCTTTACAGAACAGATCCTTGAAGTGCTCCGTGACGCGCTCTGCCTTCTGCTTATCTGAAGCCAAAAGGTGGCCATCAGCAGAGCTGACCATGATACTCGATGGCTGAGACCCACTTTTCATGGCCGAAGCAGCAAGGAACATCTGTGCTGAATCAGGTGACTGCTCCACCTTCTCTGCCAGTCTGCCGAGGCGTTCATTGGCATCGGCCAGCTGAATAGAACGGATCTTGTGCTGTATCTGGTTCCGCTGCCTCTTTAGCTCTGCCAAGGAGTGGTGACCCGACTCTGCAAGAAGCCGAACCTCCCGCTGCTGCTCCGATAGGCGTGCCACTTCCTGGTTGGGCAGAGTTAACTTCCCGGATGTGGATCTGTGCATATGGCCAACACTGCTCTCTGCTGCTTTCAGGGTGCCATTTACTGCGCTGGACCATTTCTGACATGGAGCATTTTTTATGAGTTTCTTCTGAGCAAGGGTTGGTATGGCTGATGGAAACGCTTTCTTTGAGTTTTGCTTTGTAGCCTTGCCTCACCGTGGCGTCCGATGAAAGCCTCCGTACAGCCAATGGACCAACGGACCTCTTTGTTATTGGGTTTGAGCGATAACCTTTGATCAATCGTTGGAAATCCATTTAGGCGATGAAAATTTTATGGTCGCTTGATGTCAGTGTCCCTGCATACGAGCGGGCACGTTTGATAAGGGGCTTGCAGCGAGCCGGTACTGCGATAAAATCGATCATATTGTATATTCTGCTGATTACACCAGTATCTCTGTTTGTGACTGAGCCAGTCCACATTGTCCTGTAGCGCATGGAATAACGGAAAAGGGTGTAGGCAAGGACAATTTCACACGAATTTGCCCACTGAAGTAGCGCCTGGCCGTTGTTATTCCGCACTCTTCTACCGTATAGACCAATGCAAGGCGTCTTGCTGGTGCCGACTTTGCTGTTAAAATCGCCACAACGAATCTCACATCGACAGAGGTCTCTGAGGAGCTCTTTGCGGGCAGCGAGAAGTCAGCGTAGCCGACTCGGCCTGACAGCTTTTTATGTTTTCTCAGGAATTCGTTGAAATATTTCGACACGGCGAATCCAATCCCCCGTGGTGACCCGCGTCCTGGCCAAAGCCCACAAGCCTGTATCCGTCGTCGATAGACCTGTCAAACGGCTCAGCAATTTTTAGCTCCTGGAGGCAGCAGACATCCACTCTGTAGGACAATAGGTATTTCGTTAGCTGCTGTTTCTTGACATTTGAAGTTAGGCCGCGTACATTGAACGCTGCAATTCTCGCTTTAGCGAGGGTCGGTGAACTACGAGCCAGCATGCTTCAGGCTTGCATTTCTCACAAGGATAAGCGTTGACAGAGATAGGTAGAGTAGAAGGATGAAGAAAAGAGATAGGAGAGAAAGAGAGAGAAAAAAAGAACGCTGTGCAGTCCGCCCAACACCAACAATTTTTTCCTAGATAATAGTAATGATAATAATGAACCCCCTTTGACTAGAAGTCTGTAAATATTAGGGACTCCTGAGTGCAGATCGATAATTAATGTTGACCACAGTGGTACAAGGTCCACCAGTAACGTTATCACATTACTACAAACAAACGAACAAAAGCAGGAACAGGATTGTGCCTACAAGACACAACATCAAACATGAAGAATCTCTGCAGCAGGGGAGACTGAGTCGACGACAAACATGGCCTAAAGGTCTTTACAGGGGTCGTATGCTACTGATATGATCTAGCATGACAAACAGAAAAACTAATCTAAAACTAATAGTACTTCAAAGTAGGCATATCGAGACACATGAGGAAAATACAATTAGAGTAGCAAAGGTGTACATGTTAAAGTAGGTGTAAAATTTGTTTGGTTCATTAGAATACCCTGACGACCCGATGTCCTGAAGAACTTATTCATTGTGGCCTAGCAAGCAGTAGCAACTAGCTAGATATTCTTATATGTATAAACACACTGATTTCGTGTGAGTGCTAAATGTATGTATCCTGGTGAGGGCGGAGCATTGATTGATCTGTGAACTAGGCTAGACTAGGCCGCTGTCTACCAGCATTCAGGATGTGAATGACCACATGTAGAAAGGTATGGTGCTATGAATCCTTCTCAGTGTTGAAGCTAGATGAAAACCTTACACTCATGTGTAAGCTATTTTTGCTACTGAGTCAAAAGCTAATGGCGATGGGGTGCTCCTGTTTCTTGGGTGTAGATTGCTGCGATGTTGGTGTTAGTGGCTGGAGCGAGAATAAAGCTTCGGCGGATTAAGCTGCTGTCTAACGGCATTCCGAAAGTGGATGGTTTCGGTCCACGGACTTGCTGCTACGGGGTTGGTCTGCAGGGGCGGTGGTGCTGGTTACTGCTGCTTCGGTGGTAGTGGAGGCAATGGGCACTACGGCTCCCGTGGTGGTGGAAGTGTTTGGTGCAGCTGCTGCGGTGCGCCTACTCCGGTCCTGAGGTGCTGGTGCTTCTGCGGTGGCGGCCATCCAGTATCCTGCTGCTGCTGCTGCTTAAGTGGTGCCAATCCATGGTCCTGCTGCTGCGGCTGTCGTGGCAGTCCTCGGTGCTGGTACTGCTCCGGTGGTGGCGGGGCTGGGAGCAACTTCTGTCATGGGAATCTTGGGACTTGCGGCTGCGGTAGTTGTGGTGGCCGGTACTGATGCTGTGTTGTGGCTGTGGTGCAGCTGTGGCGGTGGCCGTGATTGATCCGTGGTGTTAGCGAGGATTCAGCATCTTCTTTCATTAGCACCTGTCCTCCCTGCTTGCTCTGTAGCATTGACAGTGTTTGCTACTGATTATATTCCTGCAGTAACGGATGCTGTAACTGTAATTGGAAATAGCTGTTCTGTGTTCGATTCGCTCTCAGTACCTAATGAACGAGGGTGAGCCTATTCATCAGAATCTGATTTGTTACATACAGAGAATGGTGAACCCTCACATTCCCCCGGTGGTGTTCTTGACTTCACTTCAAGTGAACTAGATGGAAAAGGTATTATCATTATCCTCCTCAGTTTCTTCGGCTTCAAGGTCATGATGATCACCGGCCGCATTGGCCACTTCAACATTGCTATCGCTAGGAGGATGCCGCACCCGGTGTTTCCAGAGTACCTTTAATTGTCGGGCACGACGGAACGCTCTACCACAGCCGTGATGCTTGCATTTTAAAAGTGCGTTCACCTGTGTACTGTCGTAAGTGCATAATAAGATTCCTTTTTTCTTGAATGTCTTTCTTCCACACCCCAGCCATTGGCATTTAGGCGTGGCTTGCTGCTCCCTGCTGTGCAGGTGTTCATTGACGGTGTGAGCTGCAAGCTCTTCCACAGTTGCGAAGCTCTTATAGCAAACAGTTCCTTCACCATTGCTCACACACCCCTGACAAACATGGTTCGTAACAGCTGGTTTTTGGTTTTCACCATCGTCGGGCTGTTCCTTCATCGTGGCGGCAGCGGAGGCATTCGTCGGCTCAGAATCGGTAGAATCCACCATTTCTCTTTAGGCGAAAAGAAAGTAGGTAGTGCTGCTCCCAACGATGGGTGCACGAGAGAGGTGCTCTTTCAGAATACAGCTTATGGTTAGGTTGTGGTCGATAGCAATCAGCACCAATAGACTGTTAGGAACTGGGTTACGCGATAGGGATAATGGACGTGTTGATGGTTTTCTCAGAGCAATCACTGAGACTCAGGGCAACGTCGACACCGTCAAGTGGTTTTACTAAAATGTCGAAAGCTAAAGTAGAATTCAGGAGAAATGGTGAACTGCTACTCCTCACAGAAAAGTATCACAATACCAGCTAACTGAGAAGTCATGTATTATATAATATTGCAACAAAGGTAAATAACTGGTACTAGTATGAATGTAGTGTCGAAACTGGAGGTGATTATAGTGCACGACTGAAACTGCAGTAAGTTGGTTAGAGACGGGCACCATGACGAAGAGGTCGGGACCGTGTTGAAGAGTGGTGTAGAACTGTGTGAGAAATAAAGTGCCTAAGGGGCATCTCCACACCCTTTAGAACAATCTGTAACATTTACACAAAAAGTATAGAGGAAGCTGTGTTGCGACCTCCATTCTCACGTGTAATCAACGTCACTAGATAAGCGATACATCCAAAAGTGGGACTGTGAACACAGAAAGATAGCAATGTAGAGAAGAGGAGGACCACAGCGCAACCTTAGGCATAGACGATCAGTAGATGCATCCACATATCCTTGGAGTGGAAGCTCAATGATATACCCTCATATACATCGGTGGTAGTATAGCACAATATCCTCAAGCTCAAAAAGCATTAAATTCGTACAATGGCATGGCAACTAGCGCTGTCAAAATCATAAGAAGGAGGACGAGCTGAAGTCACATAAGACCAATGTAACTTCAGCTCCTCCTCCTTGTCGTGCAATCAAATTTATGCCACAGTACCTTTATCAAATTTACCCCCCCCCCCCCTTCCGTTCCTGTCCTTCCATATGTTACTTCCCACCTATCAGGATAATGTAAGCACTTCTGATTGCCGTTCGAAAATGTTGACCACATTAGTACCACGGCCATCAGTATAATTATCACATAGCAAAGTCTCTAGAACATTTTCTTTGCACGGTTCTCCACACCGCAGGATTGTCACTGACCATTTAGATAGGTAGGAACGGTGGTAAGGCCGCGTTTACATGACACCGCTGGGGTTGAAAACGCAAAAACATCCTTTCGGATGGATGGCTCATTCACATGGTACGCGGAGGAAAACGTAAAAGTTGGACACCCAAACCGGAAGGAAACCAAAACGCTGGCCAAAGTGGAAGAATTTGGAAACGGAAATGGTCTACTGGAAATATTTCTTTAGTTTTCGCTCATACACGCGGATCCGATGTATCCGACAATCAAAACAATTATTTTTACAATGCTTATCATCTGAGGAGTGCTATGATGTGATTTGATTTCAACTATACCTTGAGTGTGGCTGGTGCTTCCACGATAACACTTGGCACATGGCGTGCTTTGGTGGATCCTTGGCTCCTGCGTAGATGCGCGAAAACGATACAAACGGAGACCGCCCCGCGGCCCGGATCAGCTTTGGTCATGTAGACGTACGAAAACGAAAAAAGAAATGCGAGACTGAAAACGGAAAACTTGCCGTGCGTTGTCGTGTAAACGCAGCCTAAAGGCCGATTCATACTTCATTTCGCATACGTGGTGTTGTAAATGTGGGCCAAGAGCGCGGTATGGAGAGGTAGACGGTTTGTTAAAAGAAAATTTATGATAATTTTTAATCTCCCCAACAACAGTCCAGGTCAAGTTGCAGGAAATGGTGACAAAGTCGTCCCTCCGAAGTAAGCCATCAAAACGTGCCACGCATCCTAATGACGCAACAGCCAAATTAAC